TTCATTTCTCTGTATGATTGTGATTGCGTTTTTTTTGCCTGTATATTTATTTGTTTGCATAAAAGATGAACCTCATTACATTGTTTTGCTGCAGAAAATGCAATAAAAATGTTTATCATGTTAATAATACAATTTGATTGATAGATTGAAGAAAATGTAATAATTTTCTGCTCCATCTTCAAGTTACAAGATGAGCAAGAAAAATAAAAACGATAAACAAAATGTTTTCACAATAAACAATCACCTTGAGGGGATTTTGCTTGTTACACTAAACTCAAACTCTTCACTGTGTCAACCCTTAACCACCCTCAACATTGTATTATAATATTGTACATATAAATATACATCTATTTATTGTATTATATTATATATGCTCTGAGTATTAATAACATCATCAATCCTTTTCAATTACACAAATTGATTTTGATTATATTTGATAAATCATCATGAGGTGATGGTTATAATATTATGGTCGTGGTGGATTATTGATTGGAAGATTATTTTGTTTCAATGTTTTACTTTGATTGTTTGGTTTGATTTTTCTTTGCTTCTATCTCATATCATGATGATGAGAAGAAGCCGAAACCGATACTCAATCGATAATATTCATTTTTGGGACATCCATCATGGTGAATCCATGATAATCTTAGTTCTGAGTAGAATTGGATAATAATAATAATAATAATTGATTCTTGTACTTTGTTGTTTCCATTTTCAAAAATATAATATTATCATGAAAGTTTTGTCTTGTTCTTGTTTGTTGTTGTTGTTTTTTTTTATATTATCGTTTGAAATGATGAACTTAAATGTATCTGATTTTATGGTTGATTGGATTAGCTTTGAAATTACTGTGACTTTATTCAGATGATTCTTGGTGATGATGAGGAAAAAGATAAAATGAACAGATGCACATCATCATTGTCATCTGGTTGATTCTGTGATTTCTGATGGATGATTGAGGTTACTCACATTGAAAATGGAACCAACTGAATTATTCTGAACTTTTCTTTCCCAATTCTTGTCAGGATCTCTCGCTCTCTATTGTCTTCCTCATCTTCATCTCTTGTTTCATCCACTCACTTTCTATCTTTCTCTTTCTTTTTTCTCATCATCATCATCAAACTGATCATCTTCATGATCGTCATTCTTGGTATTTTCATTTGATATCAGATTACATCAATCACGATTTGAGAATCGCCTCCTTACACCAACATCAAAAGCAATTTAAAAAGGATCACATGACTGATAGATTTCATATAACAGTAGTTGCAAGATGAAAAAAAAGACAGGGTGAGAGAGAGAGAGAATCATCATCATCATCATGGTCTTCTCACCATCATGATAAGTGAAATGAGTTTTCCATTCGAAAGGAAGAACAGAAAAATCATCTTTTCGTAATTTTCCCATTCTCATTCAGCTCTACTTTATATTATTATTATTTTCCATCCAAGGTAATATTCACTCTCTCTCTCTCAAGACGTTTTTTCTTCTGTTATGCTATCATCATAATGCTTATCCTCATCTTTATCTTCATGATCATCATCACAAGGTTATATTAGCCTGAAGATAGAAAAGAAAAACAAATCATCATGATCAAATTAAGCTGGAATGGTGTTGATGCTCAAGTTTTAACATGATAAACAAAAAAAAAGTTTCCATGGATAAAAGTTCAATATAAATATTATCATGTTTATGGTGTAAGAAAAGATGGAAAAACAAAAGCAACAAAATTATCATTACAAATATTTTTCTATTCCCACCTTACAGTTGATTCAGTAAATAATGATCATGATAATCACATGAAATTACAGTTAGGATTAGGTTTAGTTTACACTTGAATCAATATCAATGGTTTTGGTTTTTTTTATGTGCTCTCTTTGTTTCCATTGTTTTCATTGCCTGTAAATCAGATTCTTGAATCATTATCATCATCATCATGTTACTCACACAATTATATTGTTACCCATTAATTTAATTAGCCAATTACATGTGAACAGTGATTTAAAACTATTTATTAACATTGAAGCAAAAAACTAGAGAGAGAGAGAGAGAGAGAGAGAGAGAGAGAGAGAGAGAGAGAGAGAAATGGCAAAGATGAAGTGAAAAAAAACTCCAATCTCATGGAATCAGAATCAAAATCAGTTCGATAACGATTCATGATGAACATGATTCTTGATATGATGATGAAATATCAGAGAAACAAAAAGAAACAAAAAATTCAATTTATGTCTATTTCTCATTAGGTGAAAATGATAATAACGATGATTAAGATTATGATTAAGTTTGATTGTTATCGAGAAAAATATTGATACAATATTATATTGTTATAACATTTCGTGTTGCTTTACAGGGTAAAGTTTACTATTGATAGAGAAAAGTTTTCATCTTATTTTCGGCATTATTATTTTCGATATAATGAAGAGAAGAAGATAAAATCTTGTTTTTTTTCCTCGAATTTTTATATTATCATCTTTAGAACATTGTTCTAAAAAGGGGGAAGAGATGAGTGGACATAGATGAAGATGCTCATCCATCAATATTGTGTTTGCTCTTCCGTTTATCTTCATCTTTCTCTGTTGTCGATATCTCCAGATGAAGAAAAACTGTCGAGAATGGAACTTTTTTTTCTCTCTTTCACGAAAATTGTCATGGAAAAAGTTCTGACCAGTCAAGTGGAACTTTTTCATTTTCGATTGATAAGAAAAACTTTTTTCTTCTCTTTTTTGTCATAAAGTCCATGATGCTATTAAAATACTCTCACATACACACACACCATACACCTAAAAACATTCATTAACATGATGTGTTCAGTTATCAGGAGGGCGATGGTGGTGAAGTAAAAGTGGAAGATAGGAAAGATGAGAAGAGAGAGAGAGAGAGAAGAAATTTTCAGAATATTCTGAATGAGAGAATGAAAATTTCAGAGGTGGAAGAAAAAAATTTCCACTTGCATTGATATTCACTGAGATGAACAGTTTCGCTCAACTTTTCCTGATGATTATTCTTATTCCTGAGATCATTATCATGGAAATGATTATAATAATAATAATATGAACCAAATTTTCATCGTTTATCTTATTGTCTTAACATCAATCTGATAAATGATATAATGTATTTAATACAATGAGAAGAGAAACTTTCACCCACCTTGGTGGATGAAACTGATTACCTTGTCAGTGGAAACTTATACACAAACGATTCAAGGTGAAGATGGAGAAAAAATCATCATGAAAGAGGAAAAGAAAGAGAAAAGAAAAAAAAATATATTCTACCTTTTAGTTTTTACCATTGAGAACCATCATTAAATTGCTTCTGTTTTCTTCTTATGTCAAGAAGATCTTCCAACATCATCATTATCATTTTCATCTTCATCATTCTTCTTCTTCATCCTCATCCTCATCATCTGATTCTCTTTCTTAACATTAGGCATCAGTCCTCAAGTATCTCACCTTTATCTTCCTACTCAACAAGAACATGGAATATCACTTTTTGTTTCATTGAATATTGTAAACTAAAGTCTCATGTATCATGACAACAGAATCAGAACTCACAACGGCAAAGGAAAAAAAAAGAAAAGGAAAGAAAAACAAAGAGAAATTGTCATCTTCTTTTTACATTTTTCTCTCTTCATCTTCATCCCATTTTCCTGTACAAAGACGAGAGAGAGAGAGAGAGAGAGAGAGAGCAATGATAACATTATCATTATGATGAAACAAGAAAGAGAACGAAAAAAAAAAGATGAGCAAGCGAAATGTTTGCTACTGAATATCCTTGACATCACTTATAAGGTTTACCTGTGATCTTGTATAATGATGTGATATGATGTTAGACATTATTGTTGATACCTGAGTGTAATTTTCATTTCTGTTTCTTAGATTCTGAGATTTTGTTATATTTTCTTGATAATCTTCATCTTCTCAATCAGTAAATCAGATCATTTGGATGATGAAAATGATTATTATTATGATTACTATCATGAGAATAAATTCCGATGGTGTTGAATTTAAATTTTCCACCTTTTCTGATAATAATCTCATCACTTTTTATTGACTATTATTAAGTCAGAATATAATTTAATACATGATTGGCAGTATCAATGGGAAACTCAAACGATTATCTTGTTACCTTTGCTCGGGCCTTTTTATTGTATATCCAATTTCCCCTGTTATCTGTTGACAAGTTTCATTCATTTTCATGATGATATTTATCGTTATCATGATTTTTCATCGTCATCGTTTTTTTCCTCATTCTATATTGTTATATATTCTCATTGAGAGAGAGAGAGAGATTAAACTATTTTCATCCATGATGATGATGGTTACACAGGGTACAATGTATTTAAAAACGTCATTGAGTTTCCATGGAAGAAAAGAAATTTTTTTTTCTTCATTCTCATCAATTTTATCATGATAACGTCTCTCTTGAGATGATGAGGATGTTAATGATGATAGGGATGATTATTATGATGATGATGATAATGTAAACAGAATCAAGTCTCTCGATAATGATTTTAAATTGTGAACTGGAAACTTTTTTCTTTTAGGTAATTTATTAAGTTTTTCCTGAGTTTTCATGTTATTTAATCGAGTGTATCAGCTGATCATTCATTTGTTTCCGGCAAATTAAGATTTAATTGTAAATTCAAGTTTACTTATCATGTAAGATGCTCATAAATGTGTAGGAGTTTAAATATCATGAGAATGCTCAGAAAACTTTTATGGAAACGATTTAACATCATTAGTAAGTATGAGGAAAATTTTTATCGAGATGAGAGAGAGAAAAAGTTCTGATTCATTTAATGTTGGAAAACTTTGATTCAAAATGATTGAGTTTTTATACAGTTAACATGTGTTGTCTCATTGATGATGATGATGATCTTGAGATGAAAATATCAACTTGAAAAATTATCATTATCAAGATGATAATATTATATATTTTTTGCCTTTTTCGACATGATAATGATAAAATTATTCTTGTTCTCAATTTTTGTTAATCTTTAGGTACATTGGATCAAGCACGAACTTTGACCGCGCCTGTACTTCAAGGTAAGTACTGTTATTATCAAAATGATGGTGATATCAAAAGGGATTGACTGGGAGGAGGGAAGATGAAGATAGAGAGAGAGATGATGATGATGATAAAAGTAAAAGATGTGATGGGAGTTGGATGATGATAGTAAATGATGAAAATATAGAGATATAAAAGTTTTGTCTGATTACTTGATTCAGTCCAATCGAGTCCATTAATTGAGAAAAATGAGTTTTATATCAAAGTGATACACTGAAGATAAGGATGATGCAAAGGATGTCGAGGTTTGATAATGATACCTCTGTAACATAAATAAACAATATAAATATCAAAGCGAGTTCACAAAATTTGGATTTAACTGAGAGAGAGAGAGAGAGAGAGAGAGAGAGAGAGAGAGAGAGAGAGAGAGATGAGGTGAGTGAGTAACAAGAAGATGAGGATGATGGAGAAGGAAGGGAAAAGAAATGAGTTTGAGGGTTTGTCAAACCATTTACACCTTTCATTTAATCTCACCCTCATCATCATTTCCATCACAACAAACAACATGAACACAGAGAGATAAACAATATTATCTCCATCATCTTACTCTCTCTCTCTCATTTACTCTCTTATCTTCCTTCTCTTTTTCCCATTTGTCCTTCATCTTTATTTCATACCAACATCAATTCTCGTCAATCTCTTACTTTGTCTTCATCATCATTTCTCTCTCTCTCTCCTTTTAACACGACTCTTAATACTTATCTTCCTTATTTCTTTTCCTTATTCTACCTTTTCTCTTTATCTTATCTTCCTCATCATCATCATCTCTCTCTCTCTCTCTCTCTCTCTCTCTCTCTATCACCATTTTCATCTTCGGTTGATCCTCATACAAACTTTTCCTTGACCATTTTTCTTACTCATTACATCAACCTCATGGATAAATGACCTGTCACATGAATCATGTCAATGATATGTAAAAAAAACATAACAATCAATATGCTCTCTAAATGTTATTGACCATGATTTTCGTGATGACCACCATGATGAATGATTACCATCGCAATTATCTTCCCCTGGCACTTGATGATTAAAAATGTGTCTCTCTCCAGGTCGAGCCTTTTTTAACCTTCATAATCGACCTGCTTTTTTAAAGATTGATCCAGTTCGTTTATCCGATTCTGGTGAATATCGATGTCGAGTTGACTTCAAAAAAGCTCGGACAATCAATACTGTAATTAGTTTAAAAGTAATCGGTAAGTTAATACAATGTAATTTTTAATTGTGATAACAATTTAAATCAATTCGATTCGAGTAGAAAGTGAAAAATTTTAATTACAATTCAATTAGCCCTTTTCATTGGATATTAACATTATCATTATATGGACATTAAATCATGTTATCATTATCTGGTCACTAGTTAGATGGACATTGACCACTTGACAATTTAATTGAATCTGGATGAGTAAAAAAAGGAGAAGCTAATACATTAAACTAATTGTATCACTGTTAAACATTAGTGGTCACTCTGTCAGCATGATGACCATTACAATTTTCCCTTCAATTCTCATGTTGAATCTTTTTTTTGTCTTCTCTTGATTCTTTCCATTATTCTGAATGTTTTCCCATTTCCGGAAACGGAAATGATGCTGAAATATACGGATTCCTCTGAGATAATGGACAATTGAGTCGAAAAAAAAACTTGTTGATTTTTTTTGCATCACATCGATTCAGATTGGATCCAATTAAACAGGAAAACTGATTGATAAATGGATATGTTAAATGACAAAATATTTGAGATTATATTGATTTGAACAGTGTCTCTTTCCCCTCTCCAATGATACAATTAAATTCATTAAATGATATCAATCAAATTAGTAGATTAGAGTTATAAGTAGATGAATAAAAGTTAATAATCATTTAGGATAATCCGATGAATTGAAAATCAAAATGAGTAAAACTGTAATTTCCAGAGAAATGAACAATTTGGGTTTCGTGATAAATCAATCAGCAATCAAATTAAATTGCTCTTTACAGATCAGAATCAATTGGAAATTCAGTTTATCATTGCATATGGAAATGACGGAAATGTTTGAAAATGAGAGAGATGAAACTTGCATGACAATTTCACCCTGAAAATTAGATGAAACTTTTATCTTTGCTCCATTTTGGATGTGAAGATAAATTCACAGAGAGGAGAGGATGAGAAGAGAGAGAGAGAGAGAGAGAGAGAGAGAGAGAGAGCAAGAAAATCATTCAATAAGAATGAACAAGTAGTCAGAAATACAGGGTGAAATAAGAAATAAGATTGAGGATAGAAATTGTGATGAAAGAAAAAAAAAGTTCATTGAATGCACATCGATTTCATTGAGACAGACAGATAAACATTGACAAAGAAATCATTTGCTTTGAACAAAAGGATCATGTAAAGCTATCATGAAAACTGAACCCATTTCACTTATAAATCCATGTATTCAGTCACGAGAAAAAAACAAAAACAAGCCTAAAAATCATCTGAGTAAAATTACAAGAAGAAAATGAATTCAAGTATCAATGGTCACAAGTCCAAGAAAGAAGCAGCAGCGAGGAAAAAATAGAGAGAGAGAGAAAAAATGACCATTGGAAAGAGAGAGAGAGAGAGCAAAGAAATAAGAACAAAAGTTAAGAATAAATTCGTGAACATAATCTATTCGATTGAGATTCGTAAATCAGATTATTTAACTGATTCTGAATGAGAAAAAGTGTCAAAGAATTTGATAAGTTCATGAGGAAGGGGGTTGAGAGAATGAAAAAAGTTGTTGATATTCAGTAAAAGGGATAAATAGGTTTAGATGTAAAAATGATTTATCGTTAATCTCATGGACCCTTTTTCGTAACCCGCTCATGATGATCATGGATAACATCAATTATGTTAATTACTCTTGAGACTTGAAACTCTTGCAACTGAATTTTTCTCCTTCAATACCAGAGTAAAAGTCAAGGTAACAACATGATAATGATGATGATGGTTAAAAGATGACAGAGTAAAGAAAAATATTATTATTCAACCAACCAGCAGATGAATGAATTTACAAATTCAGTGAGAGAGAGACAAACATATATTATATAGTTTTTGCTTGCACCATGATCATCATGGTTGATAGACAAAAATAAAAGATAAATTGTGATTCGGAATTGAGATAAAGGTTGCGAGAAAAAATCAAACAAAATGTATCCATTTTATCATGGAAACATAATATTGTATATTCATTCATTCAGATAGATAACATGATAAAAATGTATCCATCGTATTCATTTCAATTCATTCATATATTCAGTTTGATATTTTGTTTTTCTCAAAACGAGTTTTGTTTTCATATTATTTTCATATTAACCTGAAGTAAAAAAAAACATCCAAATGATAATTACCTTTACAACTAATGATAAATACTATTTGATTATTGTTTCACCCCCATGATTTCATGAATGAATTCAGTTAACTGAATATTATTTCTTGGTTTTCATTTCAGTTCCACCGGAAGAGCCTACAATATCAATCACTGATGATATTAATCTTAAAGGTTTAATTGGACCTTATAATGAAGGGGATACACTTAAACTCATTTGCACAACAATTGGAGGTAAGATAATCACATTTCCTTTTCCGGTAGTTTTTTTTTGTCACAATCACCAATGTGATAATGATCAAAATGAAACTAAGACCTAGTTTACAATTGAATTGATTCATTTAATGAATGAAACAACTCATGAGATATTATCGTTTCCTGATTGACAAGATTTCATTTCGACACTTTTTTGAAGAAATTTCAACAAACAAATTGAAAGAAAAAAAAATCAATCTTATAATTGAATTACTTCATGATAGAAACAGGGTGAATTTCTGTGTGGTAAGATATGAATGTTTGTTCATTTCACTGAACTTTCTGATTGTTGACAAAGTTTTAATACACTTTGATTACTTGAAACAAACACAATGGTAAACATTTGTACTATTATTTATTTTTTCTTGTCATCATCATCATCATCGTCATCATCCTCTCTCATTGATAACATGATGATCAGAAAGATACACTAATTGTATTAAAAAGTTTTCCTTTAATTAAACGAAAACCAAATGTTATCCAAATCGTTTTTTCTTCCTCATCCCATTTTCTCATCATCTTTATTTTTTACTCTCTTATCATCCTCATCTTCTTACTAATACTAATACTTTTGTGTGTATAAGATTAATTCTGAGATGATGAAATTAATTGTAACCGTAAAAAAAGTAATAAGCCTCCAAGCAATTGATTACTTGGCTCAGTTCAGTTCATTTGTTGAGGTGGATTAGTTTTGATTGTCACACAGACTCAAATACCATATACTTATTATTACAATGACCAGATGAAGATAAAATATTGAACCCTCTCTGTCTCTGAGTTGATTTCTTGACCATTGATTGGTAAAACTCTTGACCATCTTAAATCAACCAAATAGCAGCAACAATTGAATAAGATATTAACCAATAACATGATTGTTATTGGAAACCAAATAATGAAATGAAAGAAAAGAAAAGGAAAGGAAAGGATCAAAAAGTTCAGAATTAACTTCGCTCAAAGTTGGAATACATGAGAATAAGTATCTTTATCATCATTATATTGGCAGTTTAATAATAATCACTTTTGATCGAGAAAATTTGAAAAATAATCAAAGACCGTTTTTCGTATTGGATGATAATGAATTTTACCTAATATCAAGGTGATAATAAGCTAGAATTTGACTGGCGAACTTTCTAGAATAGACTTACAGTTCAATTTCTTCTTCTAACTGGTCATTTCGACCTTAATAAAATCTGACTGAACGATTCTCAAGTTCTTAACACTTTACTCACCAAGTGCCGACAATGATTGACCGGTAAATGACTTGAATCCCTTCAACTTCACTCGTCAATTTGATCTATTATGACCTTGGACATCTCGTGATACTCAGTAAATATCATAGAACATATTAGATACAAAACTCCGTGTTTATTGATAAATATCAAGAACTTTTCACTCGTAGTCGTTTAGTTCATGACAGAATTATGATGCAAAATGATTTCAGACTTTTTTCCCTTTCGTTTCATAAACTCGACAACTCGAAAATATTATTTACTCTCTCTCTCTCTCTCTCTCTCTCTCTCTCTCTCTCTCTCTCTCTCTCTCTCTCTCTCTCTCTCTGTTTTATCATCATTACCCAATTGACCTAAATCATGTTAACCTAAAGGTTAACCGTTTTCATGCTCATCTAATCCAATAAAAAATATAATTGGTCATCTGTCCATTTCTTACTAATCTAATCTGACTCTAGATAATAACATATCTCAAAATAATAATGATTATTGGCAATAATAACAAATCACAAACTGAAAAGAAACAGTTAATTTGATAAAATCTTGATTCAATTTGACATTTGATTTACAATCTTTACTTTTTTTTCATATAATTATCTTGTAGTTTCAACCTTTTCAAGGTTAAACTTTCAAGTTCACAAACCTAATCCAAAGCAATATTATACAAATAACCAAATCCTAATTGATCAATCACTTTAATCAACCAAGATTACAAATCACTCACGTCAACAATTAAATCAGCAAATAAAATCAGGATTATAACCGTTAGGATTATTTAAAATTGTAACCAAATCAAGCCAACACTTTAGTTACCTGTTGAAATTATCATGTTAACATCAGTAGAATACAATTAATCAACTTTCTTTAATTTACCTTGATGATTATCCAAGTGTATTGTTAATCTTGTTCCCGAAAACCTACTTATTACTCGTTAAGGTGAGATTATGCCTCAGGGTGATTAGAATATTTCTCTCTTTTTTTCTCCTTTACCTTTTCTGCCTTAAAGCTTGACGATGACTCGAATCTGCGATTACATTGAAAGTGACATTCGAATTCATTTTGTTTGATTATCACTCATGATATTATCATTCCAATAGGTGAATATTATCATTGTCACTCTCATCTCATCAATTACCAAAAATTGAGGTATCTGTTAATAGGAATAACAATATTATCAATATAATAATAACCATGACTAATGTTATTACTTTATCATCAAGTAAATTAGGATAAAAGTTAAAGGTGATAATTGAACAATTATTATTACCAATCTGTGGATAGAAATTAATTCAACCAAATAATTAGTCTCTCTATCTGTTGATTAGCTTTCAAACCATTACCATGATGATCATTATTAAAGATATTAATTGCAATTATCAAGATAATTAATATAAATATCATGTAATATTTACAAAGTAACTGTTAAAAGAGGATTCGAGATTGTTGAACATTGAAATCTTTTCATGATAACTATTATTATCCTAGATATTATTTATCTAATAACATGGTGATGATTAAGGATGAAGAAGTTATCAAGATATAAAAAAAGAGTCAAAAATCAAGTTAATCCAATTACTAGAAATGTCTTTCAATTTGATTATTTACTCTTATTGATCAATTGAAAACCGATAGTAATTTGATATCAAGTGAAAATACATCATGCTGATGTTGATCATCTGTTTCAAGAATTAATTTAGATGTTAATTGGTTGATTGATTAGTTGCAAAGGCTGTCTAATAATATTGGTAAATTATAATCACAGTTATAACTGTTAATTTAGTTTGATCAACAAATCAGTTGGTTGATTTTGATTTTAAATGAACCCTTTTTTTTGTTATTGATTAATCACCTTAAACACATTATCATACCAATAACGTTGATATTACTATTAGTTTAATGATTATGAAGATAATGATGATAATGGTTACGAGGCTTTGAACATTAAACTAAAATCATGTAATGATTACTAATAACATGATGATGATGATGATCAGGAAAAGGGACACAGATGATAACTGAATAGCCTCGAGAGACCTGGATAAGACAGAGAGGAAAAATCCTAAGATAATGTATTGGTGGAAATGATGAGGATGAACATTCATCTCTCATATCATTTAATCATTCCAAGTGATTCTTTATCATTATCATGCAAGTTGACATTCAACTGAATAACAACAAGATGAACAAAGATAAAGGATAAGTATAAATAACACATAGAGAAACATGTCTCTCTCTCTCTCTCCGCCATGATGATGAAAATGAGAAAGAACATGAATGAAAGAAGAGAAATAAAAGAAAATAAACAATAGGAAGATGAGGATGATGATGATGATGATGAAAGAAAAAAAGTTATGACAGTTAAGTCAAGAAAAAGTCAAGTGATAAAAATGAAGATGAAAATGAATCCTGATGATGTTTGATGATAACTTTCAATGTGATTGATAGAGGTAAGTTGTGTACAGATAATGTTGATTAATTATTCAGATGATCATCATGAAAGTCATCAGATTATCATCATCATCATCATCTCGTTTTCCTCATCCCAAACCCTTCATCATTATTGTTGTAACAAAAACTTCCAACAATGATATTGTGTAACATATAATATGATAGAACGAGGAAAAGACAAGTTAACATGATATCATCTCCAGAACTTTATTCAGAATTGCATTTACCTGAACCATACAAAGAAAAAGGATTTTCAGTTTAGCCAAATTTTAAGTAAGAATCAACTTTTCCCTCTCACTTTTATATCCTTTTAATACTTGATATTTTCATTTTCATTTATTTTATCGTTATATCAGAATGGAAAATGTTAGAGATGAAACCGAGTGTCTGATCAATAGAAATGCCCGAGGCTATTTTTATTTCCCAAAAGCTTTTCTATCGTACATACAAAAATTGTGTCCATTTTTTTCCTCCATCTATTTACTGTACCTTGTATTCGTAGATTCATATTATTGTGTATTCCTATCAGAAAGTGGGGTATTCATATTGGAAGATGATGAAAATGTTCAGTGGGCATTTCACTCACTTTCTCTTTCTTCTTACATTTACTACTTGAATACTCTGAGGATCTTCATAAGGGTGAAATAGCCTTTTTGGGTTCTCATATTTATCCATCTTCATCCTCTCATCTTCATCATCTTTTCATCTCTCTCTCTCTCTCTCTAATCCAACAATGAACAGAAAAATATTGATGTAACTTTGATCAAGGATGAATATGTATTATCTTTGCTTACATCGTCTTAACCTTTTCTGATATCAATATAAATAATCATGAATTCACATCAATAAAATAGATATGATATCTTACCCATAGGAGGAAAAAGGTTTCAGATGATATTTACTAAGTGGAGCAAATTATTAGGAAAAGTAGCTGAGTTCAGAATGAGAATGGACATGAACTTGTATTCATCATTATCATGAAATCACCAGAAACAATTTGATAAAAGTGGCCAAAACTTTTTCTCCAAATTCTAATAATATCATTAATCATCTCCAATGTCCAATTGTTGAAACTTAATTGTTGATCGTTTTATCAATTACATCAGCTGATTGTCATGTCAACTTTTTCCTCTCTTTTTGCTCATATTTGATTTTCTATTGGTCATTTTGAACAGGTAAACCTCGACCATCGTTGACCTGGTGGCGTGATAATTTATTAATAGATGACACATTTGAATATACAGACAAAGAAGGTAAGTAATATTTTTGTTATTTATTTTCTTTAGAACTTTTTTCTTTCTTCTCGAATTTGTAAATGTTCCCATTGAATACAAATGATAACCAATATTCTGGTGAGAAAATAAAATATCAAAAACGATAATGATGATATTATTTTGGTCTTCATCTCAAACTCGAAACTCGTTTTTTTTTCTGTGGTATTTATAATAAATGATTTCGACAAATATCAAACATTTACAGTTTTATCTCGTAGGGAGTAAGAGACTCAGCAAGATGATGGTGATGGTGATGATGATGATGATATTGAAGGGAAAGGGAAGATGGATGAAGTTGCAAAAGAATATTTTCTTCCATTTTTTCTCGATAAAATTTTCATCTTGGGACTTTTTTGGTCATAGATTTTCATCTTTTCCCTCTTTCATCAGAATCACAGTAACACTTTTACTCCCCTTCTTTCAAGATTTTTCATCTCTTGGCATTTTCTTTCCTCATGATACATCGTGTTTCCTATTCCATCATTCAACTCATTTTCCACCACCATCATCATTATCACCATTGAGCCTTATCTTCATCTCTTTTTATCACCATCAGAATCCTTGTCGTTGATGTTTTCGCATCCAGAAAATATGAGAACAAGAAGAAAAAAACAAAATTTTACTCAAAATTTGTTCACCTCAAGATACTTTGTGTCTCACCTTTTTTTCCCGGTAACATCTTTGGATAACTGTTAATATATTTTCCCTTTTTTTATTCTTATCCTTTTCCTTTTCCTTTATCATTATCATTCCTTCACTTTGCTTATTCCCATTATCGTGATGATAATGATGATCCATCAATAAAAAACGCATCATCAATAGTGACCACAAATCAGCTGACGATATCATCTTTATCAAGACATCATCTTTTATCAAAATTAACCTGTCAAGCGGTCAACAATAATATGACCATACCCTTGGCTACATCAATAACCTTAGAGCTCAATTGTAAGTAATTAAAACAGTGCAACCAAATCAGAGTAAAAAGTGACAATGGTCAATAAATCAAATGACCAAACAATCAAATTGTAAAATTGTCCAATTTCAATGCAACATTATGAGACCAAATTTACCAAATTATCAGTCGAGTCAACATTTGAGTTGATTAATTTATCAATCAGTAAATTTCATGATGAATGATCAACAATTTAATGAGAGAAAATATTCTCAAATATTTATATATATGTTATATTCAAATTTGAGATAAATTAACGAGACTGAATTTCAACCAGAACTTTTCACTTTCCCTTATTCATTTTATTATTCAAATTTCTTGTAAAGTCTGACAAAACTTTTCATCATAATTCAAACAACTTGTCAACCGATTGATTATATTAATACTTATACACTAAATAAGTGTACATCATGAAGATGATGGAAATTAATTAATAACAATGTAATTTAATTATTCTGTCTGTCTAAATCCAGTGAAACCAACCGAAGTGCATATTACTCAATTATCACCGATTCTGGTTTCCCTGAAAGAGGCAACATTTGAATGTAAAACAATAGGATCAAGACCAAAGCCAAACATTTATTGGCTTTTTGATGGTAAAAAACATTCAACTGGAGTATCAGGTAATTGTGTTTAGATTGTCAAAAAATAATTATACAATTAATTAACCCGATAAATTAACAACAAACACACAATTCACAAACTAAAACAATTGAAACAATCAATCAAAACATGTAGTAATAGTCATAGTAGTTGTGTGTGTAACTGTCAATTGATTAAGTTAATTGTGTAATATAAAAAAGTGAGAGAGAGAGAATCAACCTGATTAATTAATTGAATCTTTTTTTTTACTGTTTTTCTTGTTAATTGTGACAATTACTAATTATCAGGAGATCAAGTGGTTACCAGTCGGATAACAATTAACGTAAATAAATCACATAACGGTGCAATGTTATCATGTATTTCAGAAAATCCTAAAATATTAAACTCCCAGATAACTGATCAGTTACAATTAGATATTCAATGTAAGTATTATTAATATTTAAATCAATGAGAATGAAACATTTTCAAACAATAAGATAAACAAGAAAATCCCATCATTCAAATGATCACAAGTCAATTTACTTATCATGATGATGATCATCATGAAACTGAACAATAACAATTACATATTAGCCAATCTGATTACCTGATTTTTGCAATTTACTTTTTCTTTTTACAACAATTTGCATGTTCATTGATATTAACTAAATTGTAATAGAGTCTCTCTCTCTCAAATGATGTCAATGTTAAAGGATCGAGTAAAAAAGTAGAAGAGGAAAAAAAATCCTAAATTGATGTGACATTTACTTCATTCATTATTATGTATCATTTGTGTAAGACAATTTGTCGCTCAATTTAATCAACAATCAACGTAGAAAATCAAGAAAAAAAAATGAACGAAAAATTTTACAACTACTTTACTATTATTATCATTTCTTTATCATTACCTTTTCAGATGAAGGAAAAAAACTTTGCATGGTAATTCATCATTAACATGGTAAATTGTAATAACGATTATCTTATTTGTTATGTTATATTTACACATTATGATCATTTCGCTGGGGTTATCATGTTTATTTGTTTATTATCATTATTATTATGATATTTTACTCTTTATTTTCAATTTTCTCATGTAAAGATAAACCTCAAGTTAGACTTGAATTTGGTGCACCAACATCATCATCAACAGTAATTCAGGAAGGAAATGATGTTTACTTTGATTGTAAAATAAATTCCAATCCTAAACCAATAAAATCAGTTCAATGGAGATTTAATGGCAATCAATTGTCACCTAAACAAGGTAAATTTTACTTTCTACTTGCTCTTATTTTCCTCTGTCATTGTTATAAACTGGGAGAGAGAGAGAGAGAGAGAGAGTGAAAGGCAAAAAATCATCATCATAATACTAAAGGGAAGTGGGTTTTTGGAGGTGGGAAAAAGTAACAACAATATATTATACACACAAAGGAGAGAGAAACCTAATTTTAACCCATCCCTTGACTTTGCAATTAACTTTCAATCTCAATCTCAAATGTTGGATGAGGATGGAGAAAGAGAGAGAGAGATGATGATGATGAAAGTTAACTTGTCTTCTCTATTTTATCCTTGTATTTTGCATCCACTTCCTCATTCCACCTTTACCACCTCATCCTCATCTTCCTTTTTTTCCCTTACCTTAAGGGTTCTTTTACATTCACCTTTTGCTTTTCAATGTTCATTCTCATGCTCATCATCATCATCATCATGATCGTCATCCTTTTCATCTGATTCTTCATCCATAGTAACTTTATTAAGTCTATCAACTAAACTTTACTCACAGCTTCAGGTTCACCGAGTCCTAATCTTCAATGTGATTTAATTACATGATCGTGAAAACTATCAAATTGATTGATATCAAGTAAACATCAAATGCTAATGTTTAATGGTTAATGATAATACTCAGGTCAATAGATAAACAGTATTCAGATAAACACTCCAGCACTGAGAGATATTTTTCTCCCACTGATTAAGAATCAGTGATTTATTGTATCATCAATTTTTGTTTAGCTTCTTTCATTCATCAAGAATAATTTATGATACAATTACCATTCAAATGTAATGTAAATTTTGATGAAACCTTTCAAATTAATTTTCCATACTATTGATGAATATGAATCACTAATTACAATTTGATAAAACTAAATTTCGGTGAAATGATCAATCAAAGTCTAGACTTTAATTACTCTAATTCTGAGTGTCCCTTATAATAGATTAATGAGTTCATGTCTCTCTCTCTTTCTCTTTCTCTTTTATTCCGTGAATGGATTAACTGAATAGAGATTAAGAGTTGGAATTACATTTTGATTTATTAACTTTTATCCTCTGTTTTCATGTTGATTGTTATAAACATTTTATGTATGTTTACCTTTCATCCGTGTAAGTTAATTGTAATCAAATTAATATTTATTACTCGTAGGATATCAACACAAATACACTCATTGAAAAGGCAACTTTTGTTTTTCATTTACAACCAGAAATGTGATTTCAAGTGAAATTTATTAATGAATAAATATATAAATCATATGGTGATGATGATGACCAGGGTGTGTTCAGGTTAAGTGAATTGCCTGTTATGTATGTATATATATATAAATTACGATGTCCACTCATTAGCAAAAGCTATAAAAATGAAATGAGATTAAACCAGGAATACTTATGGAACTGAATGAAACTGAGTGAAAATATCATGGGCATGAAGATGAGAGTCTGATGGTTAAATACAATGAGAATTGAGAGACAATGAGTTTAATAGAAATAAGATCCGAATCAGCTGGATATCAATACATTATTTTCCAAGAAAATAACATAAAGACTGAGAGAGAGAGAGAGAGAGATAATATGGATTCCAAGTAATTACAGGGAGTTCAGATGAAATTCATTCATGAACATTAAGATTGAACTTATTTAAAGAGGTAAATTTATATTGATCCGCATTCATTTATCGCCTTTTACCTGAAATTTACCCTGAAAATATTTAATCAAATTTGGGAAACACAATTTCCATCAATTGATTTGATTATAATCATTTCTAGATTGCAATCTCATTTTATTATAATCTTAATCTTAAAAGTAATAGAATTGATAATGAGGTAACTTTTTAATTGGATTATAATTGATTGGCTATATAATCGCAGCTTTAACCAACTAATTATCCTCATTAGAGTTTTAATTTACTTTAATAAGTTGATTAATTAAACTCGTAAATATAAATCTCATATTATTAATATCTTCAAGATGATAATATCTTAAGGATGAAATGGGATAAGATTAACAAAAAGACCGAGACTTAAACTTGGTGATATTCAGGTGATTTTGTGGTTACTCTTTTTTTTAGTGAACTTTTCTGATTATTCTGATTCCTTAATCATTATAATCATCTGTTACCCTGCTGGTTCAGCTCTTGCACTGAAACAATTTTTTCTCCATTCTTATCGTGCTCTGAATTCTGAGTTATCTCTCAACGATAATGATGAAAAGTAAGATTAGTAGGAAACTTATTATTCTTGAGGTGAATTACCTGTCACATGAAAGGACAAAAGGTAACAAAGGTAAAGAGATAAACAATTCATCTGATGATGATAATGATGAAACAAGATGAGATAGAAAGAAAAGTCTGATGATTCAGGGAAAATTTTGAAAAGATTCATTTACATCATCATCATCTTTTACCTGAAATATTGCACAATTTGACTGAACGAAAAGAAAACAATGACAAGAATTTGTCTCAGTATTTATAATCAAAGACAATGAGGTTAACCTGTGAACATGATCAACCTAAAGAATGATAATCAACTGAACACATTAAGATGAAATTCTCCATGTAGTATATTAAAAGTCCAATGGTCAATTGTCATAAATCGCCTGGAGCAAGAAACTTGGTTCACTTACCTGAAGCAAAGGTAATTCTTGGAATACTACTTGATAATATAAGTTTTTCTTTTCTTTTTTCTCTCCAATCATGATAATCCACGAAGGAAGAAAAAGAAAAGCAAATAAAAAGAGCAGATTTCAACACAGAATTGAGACCGAAAAAAATATATAAATAACTCTAATTGTCTATTGATAATCATTCGCCTGACATGACATGAAATTGTCTTAATCCTTTGTTCATATCTTCCAATCCTCAAGACGAGTAATCCCTTTTTTTTGTACTAATCCCTCAGGTTTTGTATCTTCATATGTTCAAACAAACAATTTAATAATAGTTTAACTAATAATAACTCAGGACAATATTTTTCATTGTGATATTTATCATCGTCATTATTGATCTGATTGTAGTTTATGTACTCAAACAATTGCCACTTGAAATGATTATCAGAATCATCACCATGAATCTGTTTCTCTTGTAACATTGTTGTCAATTTGTTGTTGAGTGTAACAAAATATTCACCAAGAAATAGAGAGATAATCATGAAATTATCATGTAATTTCATTTGGAATTTCAGTTAACCCTTTTTCCGATTGATTTTTTGTTCTTTTCTTTCTTTTTGTTGTAAAATGTCAACTATTTTCTCGGTGTATTTGCATCATCATCATCATCATGGTTCTACTGGTGGTAGATTTCATCTTCACAATTGATTGAAATTTGAGTGTGTTCCCTATCATTTCATTTATTATTATATCATGAAAATGTTTCTTCATGATATTTATCAGAATCTCTCTGAACCTGATCCCCCTTTTATTTTCATTTTATTTTTTTTTTCGCCTTCTTCATCTTCATGGTGATTGACACACCATTTGATTTTAATTCAGTAATAACAGTGACAGTAATAGTGTTATTAGTTGAATGGAAATTGTTTTCTTCCTCACAATTGATTCAGATGATAATAAATTTATCATCTCAAATTTTCATTCAATTTATTCAGTTTAGTGTTGACTCAGTAACCATGTCAACTCAATACACGATTCAATCATATCATTTACTTTTCATGATCAAGATGAAGATGAAGATGAAGATGATGTTTATGGTGAAGGTGGGAGAAGAAAAAAAGAGAAGAAAAATAAATAGATAACTTTTAAGATTTAAAAGAAAAGGAAAGAAAGAAGAAGAAGAAGAAAAAAGTTCTATCCTGAGAAAGAAAAACCGTTAACAATGGATAACATCCGTTTCCGGATTCTCTGCTTGATGAGAAAAAAAGTTCATGAAGAATCTTCAGTTATTTTTTTTATCTCTTTCTCTATTCTTCATTATCTTCATTGAGAGTGTAACTTTTTACCTTTTTTTTATCGTGTTCATCATATTTTTACCTTTATATTGTCGATTCTGTTTTGGATTCTGGTTGTGACGTTAATCTTTCACCTTTACGAACTCACCTGTTATCATTATTGTTCAGCTGTTTGGGTGAAAACAACAATGGGATGAGTTCTGGAAAGAGATGAAGATCATTATGATGATGGTGAAGATGAAGATGAGAGGATGATGATAGCTTAGAGATGATGAAGTGAATTTTTTTCTACTCCCATTCTCTTTTGTCATTCTCTTTTTTTCTCATCTTGTATTCATGTGAGTCTTAAGCATTCATTTCACCATGGAAATGTTCAGTTCAAATAGAATATGTTCTATGAGAGAATTGGAATGATAGTATTTTGGTAAATGATAGAAGGGTGAGAGAGAGAGAGAGAGAGAGAGAGAGAGAGAGAGAAATAGACAGGCATAAAGAGAAAGAAAAATTCATACAATAATATTATGAGTTTCCATTCTGATTCCATGATGAAAAGAGAGGATAGTCTCTCATGAAACATATTCCTTTGCTTTCTGTAAATCACAATTTAGTGTTTGTCATTTTCTTTAAACGAAAATCCTTCTCATCCTCATCCTTTTCCTGAAAGAAAATTTTATTCACTTCTCATGGTGATCATCATCATCATCATCACCATCATAGGTTTGAAAATAATGATGATGATTCCATGAGTACCATGATGTTTGGTCATATCAACCAACGATTCATTGTGTTACCTTGGAGGCTGAGATATTTTTTTTTATATTCTCAGTGTTACTTCACCATGACAGAATTTGAATGAGGAAATGAATGGACAATGAATAGGAGGAAAGGGGAAAACGCGAAATGAAAAGAAAATGAAATGTCAGAGAATGAGAAATATAAAAAGAAAGAGAGATAGACAGAGAAAAAGAGGATTACCATTACAGAATTTTGGTTCAATGGTCATATGATTATTGAAAATTCCTCCCTGTGCATGAATAATTCTGAGATATACTTGAACTATTACATGAAGTTAAACAGTTTTTTTTTCATGGGCAAGGCTATTTCAATAATAGTAGTTCCCCTTTCCACTGGCTATGCAAATTTTCATGGTGAAAAAAAAGGTACAACCATTGAACCATTGAAATCTGATTGATTGTTATTGAGCTGTTATCCATAAGCCCTCTGAGCATTTCAACATGTAGATATTAGTTAGTCTCCAGTGTGATCACCATGAAACCTATGAATGAACTAAATGAAAGAGTGAGAATAAGATGAAAAAAATTATTCCTACTTACCTGTTTTTGACGTTACCAAAATCCCACCTTCACAGCCACAATAAAGTCAATGAGTCAAAATTTCCACCATGATAATGATCCTGATAATGACGATGACCATTATCATAATCATCATCACCATCAGCATGTATTATATATGCTAATTTTATCTCATTTCTTGCAATATTTTTTTATTATTTCTCATCTTCTTCCAACTCTGTGAATATTATCATTTCCAGGAATCATTCAGAGTAATCAAAGTTTGGTTTTGCAAAAAGTTTCTCGTCAACAAAATGGTCTCTATCAGTGTATCGTTACAAATTCCCAGGGAACTGGAATATCAAATGAAATTAATCTCGAGATTCGATTTGCTCCTGTTTGCCTTTACAGTTTCATGTAAGTTCATTGATAAAACTTTTCTTTTTTCTCTACGAAAACGAAAACCTTTACCTACGATAATCCCCAACGAGAATTAGGAATAAAAACAAAGAGAGAAAAGTTTTTTCTTCATCAAAAAACATTCCGATTAGATTATTGTTGGAATTAATCTTGCAACTGCCTTTAGCCACAATCAATCAAATTAATACTCATATTGTATTAATACATATATGGAAAAGGTGTAATTGAAAATAAATCATGTTGATTATAAATTCAAATCATGAATTTCAGACTAAAATGTATCATGAATTCAAGAGGTTCAACCGTTCAGTTCATGTTTGTTGATTGTTAATCCAAAAAAATGCGAAAAATTTTTCATTTCAATTTTTTTCCTCACCCTGTAAGTTAGATGCATATACGATGTGTATTTACAGTAAAGTAAAAAATTACATGAACAAAATGTTTTTGATAAATTACCATAGACACAATTATCTTCATAGTCAATTAATTCATTAATATTATCGTCATGATGTTGATAACTTTTCATGATCATCAATTTGATGAGTAAACAACAAAAAAAGTAAATAACAAGTTCACTTGAAACAATTTCAATTTGATAAATCAGTTTGTTGATTGTTTACAATTTACTTGGTCTTACATCAGATCGGCAGAGTTGAGATTCAGTTACATGTAACTATTATTGTAAAAGTATTCAAGAAAATCATGAAATATAATAACCATCAATTTGTCCGATAGAGTAAAAGTCTGATCTTTCTTCATCATGATTACCATCAACAATCAATCATTAGACAGAAACAATCAAGTTGACACTTAATCGTTCAAGTAAACTGTCAATTATATTGATCAATATTGACCAATGTTTATCAATAATGATATCAACACATGTTCAACACACACATATACACATATCCACACAAATGAGGTTGATGTTGATGAAGAGCATAAAAATCAATCAAAATCCTTATGACATTTAACTGTAATCAATGAAATCTAATTGATATAAAATTCATATACACACACACAAACAATCAAGGGATCAGGGAAACGGAAACAAGTAGTAGTAGTAACAATTAAGGAACAATCAATGAGAAAAAAAAATACAAAATTCAAAACTCAAATCTTTACTCTGAATATCATTATTTTTAATCATCTACATGATTAGCACCCTTATTATATGTATTTTTTGATCTGTATGATAACATAACGGTAAACATAATAATCTGATGATAATAAGAATACAAATCAACTGAGAATAAGAAAAAAAAAATTAGAGTAAAAGTTAAGTTAACAAGGTAGTTTTATCAACTAATCTAATTTGATTAAGTCTAGTAAAACCTTTGAATTCATTTCCCATGTTAATAATATTGACTCATTTCCTTGTTGTTAGTTAGACTTTTATACTCGAAGGCAATTTCAACGATTCCAATTACAACTACAATTTAACCTTTAATTGTCTTACCTTCAATATCCATAATCAACTCGATACAATCTGATTTGCTATTATTACGCGTTTGGAAAGAGAGAAAGAAAAAAAAAATTTTATCGAATATCAAATTCTCTGACCTTTCCTCTTATATATTATTTATCGTTTTGACCATTGACCAGATTAACTTATGGACTTGCCTTACATGAATCGGCTGTGCTTCGTTGTTACGTTGAAGCAAATCCTGAGAAAGTTTCATTCCAATGGCGATTCCAGGATAAATCTGATCCTTTGAGCAGCTCAATACAATCAAAGGGAAAATTGTATGTATACATATTATAATATATAAATTCAATTATATTCAAACAAAATTACATATCATTATCTATTTCCGTTTTCCGTTTCTATCCCTCAAGTTGAATCTTTCCTCTTCTTTTTTTTGTTCACCTCATTATTAGTACAATGATCATTACTATTATTATTATACATGTATAATCAATTCAAAGTTTATCACATGAAATTCAGTCCTAAAATTCATGATGATGATTGTGATTTATCAGTTGAATGAAATCCATGAATGAGGAAAAACTTTACAAATATTATTTTACATTTTGCTTGACCAATACCAACGAACCAATTTGTTTTTTTACCCTCTACATTATTACCTATTGACCTTTGTGGTCTCAATTGAATTAAAAGTAAATTAAACAAATTATATTTTCTTTTTGCTTTTTCAAATTTCTCATTTTCTGGTCCACTAATTAACCATAACAATTAACTCAACAATCAGTTCTGATCTTATATATACTGTTAATTCATCCGATGATTATGGTATCGTTTATTGTATAGCCAAAAATGATATTGGATTACAACGTAGCCCCTGTAAATTTTTAATTAAACCAGCAGGTAAATATATTATGATTGTATTTATATTCATGTTACCTGTTAATTAATTAATCACAATTTACTTTGTTGTTGTTGTTGTTTTTGTTAATTTTTATTCCGCTCATTAATTGTTGACTTTTTCACTTTCTATCACAATTAACTCCCAGTGCCACCAGAGTTTCCTTATAACTGTAAAATAGTTAATCAATCAGATGATTCACTTTTAATAAGCTGTATCTTCATCGGTAAATTAATCACTCCAACAATTAATAATAACAATAATGCTCAATTTCTGGGTTCAAATAGCCTTAAAAATGATGATGCCTTAACACCGTCCTCTTTATACTCAAACTTATCATCAACAACATCATCATCATCAATAATAACAGAAATAACTTCATCATCATCTGTAATGGACACAAACATATCATCATCATCATCATCATCATCATCTGGGCAACAATCAAATAGTATAACTGTTCATCCGAGGACAATTTATTTTGCTGAAGTTTATACAAAAAATGACCAAATCCTTGTTTCCAATGTAACCAATACAAATTCAGGTTATTATTTTAGTGGTAAAGCTAATGTTGGATCATCATCTAGATCAAATGAATTACCGTTATCATCATCAACATCATCATCAATTAATTTCCTTACCAGTTCACCTGAGCTTGGTGATACAGCTGATCCACTGGAAATGATTGAATCATTTTCACGGCCAATTGAATTTTTCATAACCTCATTGGAATCATCAACTTTATTCAGTATCAATATTTATGCAGTTAATTCATTTGGCCGTAGTGATAAGATTACATTGGAAGGGTCAACTTTAAGGTCAGCGGAAAAGTTGGTCGATAGTTTTGCTGATATTGGATTAGGTGATTATGGTTCAACCAGTGGGATTGGAGGTGGGTCAAGTGTGGGTGTTAATGGTTTACGTGTTGGTGGAACCACAAATGAGGATTAAAGAAAAGTTCATCTTCGGCTGCATCGCCATTTGGATTATCGGTTGATGATGGGGTCACTTTACTCAGAGGAATACCCTTGTTGTTAATACTTCTCATCGGTGGTATCATTACCGTTTGTGGTACCGTTTTCCTTGGTATTGTGGCCATTTTCCGTCTTCGACGAAATATTTTGGTCAATGGTGATAATTCAAGGGGTTCAGGGAAAGTTGAAGGTGGAAAAGTAGCCAATGGTGGTAATGGTAGAGGTGGAGATGATAATATGAGTGTTACAGAGCGGATTTCCGGTTCCTCTATTGTCCAACCGGAATTATTAACACTCACTTCACAATCATCAAATGCAACTCATCATCTAAATCATTTGTCATCAACTAATGGACTAACCACTAATAATGCAATCATGTTTCGTGATGATGATGATGATTGTTACTGTGATAATACAATTTCTGAATCACTATTAATATCTGGTAATGTTAATCATTCTCATAATAATGATCATCATCATCTTTCTTATCATCATCATCATCACCAATCCTCCCTGCCCAATGCTAATCATCATCATCATCCTAACTCTCATCTTAATCAACACAATCAAAGGCAATCAAATGTTCAACTACACCGGATTAATGAATCACCAAATGACAATGGTACTAATAATAATAACGAGGGTCAACTTGGTGGTTATGATAATTTCAATTCAGAAAAAGGTCCACCTGATATTATACCTTCAATTGGTTATCAAGCAGGAGGCGGAAATGGAGGTGAAGAAGGAAGAGGAAATATGGAGAAACAATTTCTAGCTTATGGTAAGCATTGAATTATCATCATTAAGATAAATACTGAGTGTCAGTAAATAGCTGATTGTCAATAACGATCCTCTGATTATATTCAGTAAGAATTTAATATTTACATAGGAACTTTTCTTCATCCATACAATCATCATCATCATCATGAACAGCAACATGATCTTTAGCTGAGTTTCATTGAGTTTCAATCTTATTGAAAATCTTATCATCATATAAAATAGATCACATTGTTATCAATGAAAAGGTATTCATGATGATGACTTTTCCTCATCATTATCCTCCCCTGAATTAAGTTCACTTGATTATATGTTTTTTTTTCAGTATATTCTCATTCAAGAAAATCCATTTCATGAGCCATTTTTTTTGTTCTCACTCACTAACATGATCAGGGTGAGAAGAGGAGGAAGATGAAGCTGTAGATATGAAAAATTGAATGGTGATAATGATGGGAGTGGGTGGATGAGAGAGTGAGAGGGTGGAATATGTATGAAAAAAGTTGTTACATCCACACGAAACACTTTAATCATTGATCACATTAAATTGCACGTTAATTGCTTGTAGATTTCATGATAATAACAACGAGAAAAAAAAATATAACAACAGAGATTGAAACTTGATTTCTATTTGGTGTGTTACCTATTGAGATATTAACTAAATGGATCAGATTGAAAGCAATTAGTTGGAATAATTAATAAATTTGAAAAATTGGAGGGGAAAAAATTGAATTGAATTCCTATTGATTAATTGTTATCGCTTATGAAATATAATATAAGCCAATTATTATTAGTTGAATTTGATGTGTTAATAATTGAATTTTTATCTCCATCCTTTATCGGGATTCTCAATAAGTACTTATATCATTGAGAGTTCAAGGTTAATCCGATTACTGGAGGAAGGAAAAAAAACTTTCTCTAACTAATAATATGTTACAATTGAGTTAATCCATTGGAAGATAATAAGGTGAAATTTAATCTATCATCATTATTATATTTACCTTTTAAGTTTCTCAGGTTAATCAAGAGGTTTAATTGTATTGAGAGAGAGAGAGAGAGAGAGAGAGAGAGAGGGGAAATGATCAGGTTAATCTCGATAACAAAGTTCTGGTGAAAGTGATTAGTGGGTCAGTTGAATAACCCTTGAGTTGACCTTTGGAGAAACAATTAAATTAAATTAGCTAATCAGCTAAATTGTGATACTTTGTTTTAATCATTTAATTTGAAAATATTTCCACTTTCATGTTCATCTTGTTTGGATAACAAATAAAATTTCAATCATTCCCATGAAACTGAATTTATATACACACCATGAATGCTGAAGAGACTATTTTATGTATCTGACAGAATTAACAACAATCATGTTGATTAAAATAAAGACAATGAGATGTTTAATCAACGTTGATTATAATCAAAAGTAATTATGTTTAAATGTTAGTATGGTTTAATAATAATATTAGAGAAACAATTTATTGATTATTACATTATTATCTCATTAAAAAAAACAAAAGTTCTGAACTTCAGAGTTTCATTTACATGGTGATATATGTCTCAAGGAATAATTTGAAACTCTAATTGTTAAAAGTTAAATTATCTTTCGTTTGGTTAATTGCTATTAAATGTAAAGAAAACAATCAATTCAAGAATAACGATTGATCAAAAAAAAAAAAGTTCTGAACTTTTTTTCTTCATTTTTATCTCAAAACATTTTCGATAAAAGTTTTTTGTTTCTTCAATAATATTTTATTAATCGTTGTAATTAAGAGGTTAAAGTTGGTAACAATTTAATTATTGATCTGTTGTTTACCGATGGATATTTTTATTATTGAAACAAATCAATTGGTAATCAAGATGATGAGGATAATCAATGATCAATAATCAATCAAATTAATGTATTGACCTTTTCCTATTAATCTTGATTGAGGTTGATTATTTATAATTGATTGAATATAAGTGAATGAGACAAAAAAAAGCAAAACTTAAATTGTTACAATCATGTTAAAGGTTGCGATCAATTAATTAATGAGAGATAAGTAATTATAAATTAACCATTAAGTGGATACTTGGTGAAGCTTTAGTTTTGACAAGAGACTGTACTTTAATCATCACTGATGACTTTGGACATGATTAAATTAATAATTAATGAAAAAAAAAAAGTTAAAAAGACACACAGAGAATACAATTAATTGCTTGAGAATATATTTAACCGAAAAGTTTACTTCCCCTTTTTGACCTCAGGTCACGACATGATAACTAGAAGAGTGGAAATTTATTCATTTCAATAATTATGACTGAAGAAAATTATATAATTAATAAATTGTGATTAGAGAGAGAGAGAGAGAGAAAATAAATAAAACTTAGATTTAGTTGTAAAGGTTAAAGATAAAAGTTTATTGTCACTTTTGATTAACACAATTAACACTGATTCTTGAGATTTGATAGTAACTCTTGACCAATGGTTAATCATGATGATTAATTTGATATTAGATTAGTGACTGGAAATTGAAATTAATTGTTACCCTTGCATGTCAACCAATTTAAGAGGAAAAGGAAAGGCAAAAATTAAAGGAAATGGGGCAAAAACTGAGATTTGGTTAAACTTTTTCGTGACTTTCAAACTTGGTAAACATTTGACTTTAACAATCGAACCATTAAATTTGTTAATTTAATTTAATAATCAAAAAGAAAAAAGATTCTCATTGAATATAATTAACGAAATTAAAGGTTACTCTTAGTGCCATCTTGAGGACGAAATTGCAACTATTTTTTTGTTATCAATTCTTTTTCTTTGTAATAATAAACTTTATTCATTTCTCTCTCTCACTTTCTATCTTATTACAGGATATTCGGAGGATTTGGATCAATCAAATGGCAATAATATCGTTGAATATGCTGAGCTTGCATTCCCTGGAGGTGGACCATTGAATGCTAAACTATCTTCCCATCAGGTCATTTTCCCGTTGCCCGGAGGTCGTTTAAATCAAGTTACATCTTCAAATAATAACATTAACAATTTGAACAACAATAATAACAATTTAAATGTGACAAATAATAATAACACCACCAATCAGATTGTTAATCACCCTGAACGGATTGAATATGCAAAGATTGAGTTTCAAAAAAACTCTCGTGTCAATATAATCACTTCTGGAAGCCCGAAATTTGAATCAACTGTTTAATTAGCTGAAACTTTAATTAGCAAATTAAATCAATTAACATTATGGTCAACAGGAAATAAAAATTTGTCACAATTTGCCAACAATCAAGATTTGATCAATTATATGAGAGCTTCCATCAGACTAATGAAATCAAATTTAGACACAACAATTAATTAATATTTGCTAATTGTTGAAATGTCAACTCTTTTTCATCTCTTAATCCAAACCATTAACTACCTCAATCTTAATTGTAAATCCATATGATTAACTCTCAAATGGATTAACCAACATGTTTGACAATATGATTTAAAGCAAAACATAATTAATACAATTAATTAAAACTTATCAAACTTTTTTTGTACCTTTTCAGTTTAATTTTGAACAGAATTTAATTCAGTTTCCAAATGATTAATGATTATATCATCTATGCTCATGTAATTTAAATTACTAGAAATTTAATTATTTTTTCTAGATTAAAAATTTTCTATTAAAAACAAAAACAAAAAAATAACAAGAATTAATTGTTACTTAATTTCAATCGCGAATACGATAAAAGTAGTAGTAATTTTATCCACTAGATGGAAGTTGTTATCTTTTTTTTCGAAATTCGAAATTTTTTTTTTCTTTTTCTTTGGGGATTAAGTGGAAGATTAAATAAGGAGAGAGAGAGAGAGAGAGAGGGAACAAAAAGGATTAAGATTGACCAGAGATTATAAATGAATCCAATTGTTCAATTTAGTGAGTGAATTTGTTGAATTGGACAAATGATAAGTTGAGTTGGTGAATTTTCATCATGATTAACTATTGCACTGTCTCCACAGATTCACCTGAATTTCCCAGAACTGAAATCGATATGAATTGAGGTTATTCTAAGAGTGGTAAATTTAGACAGTAAATATATTTATATATAGATAATGTTACACAGAACTTTTTTTGCTTCTCCTCCTTATCCTCATCCTCATCCTCATCATCATCATCATCATCATCATCTACATGATATTCAGTTGAAATTCAACATTTACTTGATTTTCATCTTATTATTATTATAACACAGATAACATGAGGTACTTATCATGACTTTCCAACTTATCTTTTCCTCCCCTGAATTAAGTTCACCTGATAATGTGTATATATATTCAGAATTCACCATTTTCTCCCATGTAACATGAAAAAAAAGGGAGGAGTAATTTCAAGAAATATAATATATTGAAATTCTGAATAAAGGGAGTAAAAATGAGAATGATGAAAACAAACAATTCAGCAAAATCAAATTCGACACCAAAATTATCGATACAATTTACTTGTAATTGAGAGTAAATTGTTCTTGTGCAATTGATGTGCAACTCGAAAGTTTCACCAATCGAAATAATCGAAATAATCGAAATCGAAATGATAAATTCCCAATCAAACGATTATCTTTCAATTAATCAATCCAATCACCTGAAAGTTGTATAAGTTTAGGTTTATTCTCAATGGGCCAAAGTAATTTAGTTGATTGTTTGTTCATTTCTTTTACTGTAACTGTTACTAATGTTATCCAATAGATGGCATTTGAAAGTCGAAATATAATAGGGAAAGAAAGAGAATTACCTTTGTCTGTCGGCGAAAGTGCGAAAGAAGAAGATGAAAAGAGAAGAGGAAAAGTAACAAACTCCTCGACTGAGAATATGCCATTTACAATTTACCTCGGAAACCATCGGTTCTCAATTAAATCTTATTACTATCTGTTGATTTCGAACCAAAGAAAATTGTTTCTTCACTCTTCTCAATGACTTTAAGCCAGAGTATGGATTCAGTCAATAATGTGCCTGAAGAAGAGGTGAGTTGATAATATTTCTGTTAATTTCTTTTCTCTCTCCCTCTCTCACCTACACTCGAAAATCTTTACGATATTAGTTTTTATTTCTTTTATTTCTTTATATTCGTTTTTCGAACATAACTCTTCTTTACATCTCTTTCTTTCTCTCTCTCTCTCTCTCTCTCACTCATTCTATCCTTCCCTTTGATATTCTTTCATTTCTCTTCTACTTTTATACCATTTCTTGTATATTTCTTTTTGCTTTCGTTTACTTTTTTCTTCAACTTCATCATGTTCCAACCTCAGGTACGAACATTATTTGTCAGTGGCCTTCCAATGGATGCAAAGCCTCGAGAACTTTATCTACTCTTCAGAGCCTATAAGGTAAAATGTTACCTGTGTTTCTTACCTTTTCCACTGCTCCTCTTACTCTAACTTTACCTTTTACCTACCTGGCTTACCTAACATTTTCCTTTCTCTCATCTCTTCATCTCTCCATCATCATCATCATGCTCACAATGATGTTGTTTGTTTGTTATCAACATCATTCCAGGGATATGAAGGATCTTTGTTAAAAGTAACAAGCAAAAATGGAAAAACATCATCGGTAAGTCTCACTCAACTTCCTTTACAGTCTTTTTTATCATCATCATCATTTTCTCTCTCTCTCTCTCTCTCTCTCTCTCTCTGTTTCATCCTCATCTCTCATCATCATCTTCATCTTACCTTTTATACGATTTTTTTATCTTCTTCTTTTCATCCCTTTTTGGTTTTGCTCTTTGCTTTATCACAAGTATCATCAATTTTACCTTTTACCTACTTTTTTTTTCTTCTTCTTCTTTTTTTTTCTTGTGCTCATCATCTTTTTGCAATCAACTCTTTGCAAAATTCAACATCATCAACATCATCATCTCTTCATCTTCCATCATTATGAAACCTCGTCAACATCTAAAGCCTGTCGGATTTGTAACATTTTCAACTCGTGCAGGAGCTGAAGCTGCAAAACAAGATCTTCAGGTAAGTTTCACTTTTTTTTTCTCATCATAATTAATCCTCGAACCTTATTCTTTATAAATATATATTATTATTCGTTGCCAACAAATTGTCTTTTTCTTTTCTACTCATTTTTTACCTCCATAAATCCCAAAAACCACCACCACCACCACCATCACCACTACCACCAACTTACCTGTAATCTCACCACTAATCAACTCATGAACATCTAACATATATAAAATATGAAACTCAACTCAAATCACAAAATACTAATGCTATTTAAAAAAACAACAACAACACACTCACTCTCTATCTCTCTCTCTCTCACCCACAATAAACACATATAATATTAATAATAAAAACACTCAGTCTGGTGTCCGTTTTGACCCTGACCTGCCGCAAACGATTCGCCTTGAATTTGCACGGAGTAACACAAAGGTTAGCAAACCTAAGCAAAAATCATCACCACCAGTTCCAGCGTCACACCCATCGCTAGCAGTTCTTTGTCAAACGGAAGATTGTTCATTACCCTCCCCATTTCCCATTCTACCTAATCCGATGACTAATATTTTCTATTCTCCCGCTCTTGTTCAACCCTCCCACTGGCGATACCTGTAATAATAATAATAATAATGATAATAATCATCATCATCATCAACAACAACAACAATATGATAATAATAATAATGATAATAGTAGTTAAATAACAAGAAAGAAGCAAAAGAAAAACAAAAAACGGAACAACAACTAAAACTTTGAATGAAATGATGAAATTTTGTGAAAAATTGATGAGAAAAAAACAAAAAAAAAGTTATCAAACAATTTTAATGCAAAACCAAAAAATTAATAATAATGATGATGATAAAACCAAAACACAGATAATAATGAACAATTTTTAGCAATAATATAATGATAATAATATATAACGTTAATTTTAATGATAATTATTATTATGATTATAAATATGAAACAAATAATTAAGTTGTTGACCCTGGACTTAAACTCAATCAGTTTTCCCTCTCAATCCTCATCCCTACATCCTTACCTTACCCACCTCCACCCACTTCCGCCTCGAAACCCACCTCAATCTACCTTTGACTCTCTCTCTCTTTCTCCCTCCCTTCCTCCCTCACTCTTTCTCTCTCGTTATTGCATTATCATTATTATTATTATTAATATTACTACTTCTATTATTATATATACATATATTCATATGTTGTATCATATTGATATGAAAAAAAACAATATTAAACAAATGATACGATATAATTACAAAATCAACCTTGACCAATCATCATCCAAATACAAACTGCAAAAACAAAACCAAATGAACAATCAAATCGTCATCACATTGTCCTCTCTCTCTCTCTCTCCCTTGGTTTATCTTCCTCATCCTCTTTCTTTTATCCTCTGTTTTTTTGTTTCTCTCTCTCTCTCATTGAATGTCAACAATGTTTCCTTTATTTTGGTTTCTTGGAACCAACAATCTCCCTTGTATCAACTCTATTATCATCCATCAACATCATCATCTTCATCTTCATCTTCATCCCAAAACCAAACTGACCATATCATATATACAAAAAAACTGTGACCAACACCATTGATGATCATCATTGAATCAAACAAAATAATAATAATTAATTGAACCAAAATTTTAGCAAAACTTTTTGTCAATGAACAAAAAACAATCAACCAAAATCAGCTCACATTTAAAAAAACAACAACAATGATCAATAATGATTAAGAAAGAAACAAAAAAGTTATTAAAACATTTTTATTATTAAATTTAAATTGTTTTCAATTAAGAAATGAATGAACAACAATAACAACAAGCAAAAAAAAAAATATTAAAGCCAATCAATTAATTATGATTAATTACTAATAATAAAATTTAAAATGTTATCAAAGAGAAAACAAAACAACAAAGTGTTGAGAACAATTTAATTATCCTGATTGTCCACACCTTAAGAATTGACCAATTTAATTGTGTATGGATACGATGACCATTCAATTTACTTTGGGAAGATAATTTCTTTATTGTCTTCCAATTAACTCGTTGAAACAATAAGCTCATCTTTTCAGAACAATTATCCAATTATACTAATAGAAAATGTGAAATTTAATGATCATTATCATGAAATGTTGGGTGAAAATTTTCTTCTCCTCCAAGACAATTGAATGTTCATCTTTTAACAAGATTAATATTTAATCATTAAGTGTAACTATTATCATGCTCAATAATTACCTTTTTGCTGAATTCATCCTCAATTCAACGTATATTACTGGACATTAATGATTATTTACTTAACATCATCATGATAAATTCTGGTGAGTTTATTTTTCCATTTTTGTTACCATGAAAAAAAGGAGAGAGAGATAACAAAAAAAGTTCTGAAGGATGATGATGATGATCATCATGATGATGGTGAAAAATGTGTCAACCAAACAGAGGAATAGGAGTAAAAAAAATCACAATATGAGATAAATTCATATGAAAATTAAATTCCTGACCATTCACTTTGACCATCTACTCATATTGACACATGAAAATAAGTGAGAGAGAGATGAAATTTCACATTAACTGATTTCTTTTTTTTAATTACCATCATCATCTTATACTAACATCTCATCATCATTATGCCGGTCACATGAAGAGTTATCTGTTACCTGGATGAATGAAAATAGGAAGGGAAAAAAATACTAATACTCAACAAAATAATGACCATCATGATAATATTATTATTCAAATAATTTCCATGAGTCTAGATAATAATAGTTATGGAAATGGAAGAGAGAGAGAGAGAGAGAGAGAGAGAGAGAGAGAGAGAGAGAGTAAGATGATATCTTGTCTTTCATTTTTATCTTTCTTTTCTTTCCAATTGGATAACGTGCAATTGAACATTTGGATAGTCTCGAAAAAGATGATTACTATTAGTAAATTAACATGATCATCATCATTTTATTAGGTAGATTCTCATTGAGAAAAGAGATGAACTTTTTTTTTCTTCTCCATCATTATCATGATACAATATCACCAACAACAACAATAATACCCATCAACAAACCTCTTCTGGTAATAGTTTATTATCATCCTCAGTATCATCTGTTTTTGTTTGAATTGACCATTGACTTTAGCCATTATATTATTATCATCATCGTCATCATCATCATCATCTTCATTGTACATGATATATATCAGAGTTACCATACAAAAAAGGATATGCTTTGATAATAACATAATAAGTTAAGCCATGAGAAACTACAACTGCAACAATTTGATTGAAACCTTATGACAAACATGATAAGGTAAGTTAACCAAAAATTAACCAGATTAACAAGTTAACCTTGAATGAAATATACAAAAGGCAATGGATGACAGTTTATCATCATCATCATCATCATCATCATCATCGTCATTTTCATCACCACCAACAACAATATAATTTGGATATAACAACAATTAAAACCGGATGAGCTTAATAATCAACTAAAGTAGAGGAAGAAAAGAAAAATTTTTCTATCAAATTTTCTTTACCTCCCACTCTCCCTATTCATATCTCTCACTCTCTCTCTCTCTCTCTTCCTTATCCATTCTCAATTATTTATCATCTTCATGTATCTCAGTTTTCAAGAACTTTCAGTTTTCATGGTGGAAACAAAACAAAAAGAACGATTAATTTCTCTCTCTCTCTCTTACCTGTGTCATTATTGTTATTGTTTTGTTGTTTTCTTCCTTGTAAACTGTGGACCTTTATTGTCATTGAGTAGTTACCATGGTAGTAGAAATGGGAGAATCTGTTAGAACAACAAGAAGAATATAAAAAAAAGTTCTACTTTCGAATAAGTTTTTTTTTCTCTCTCTCTCTCTTTTTGATAGATTTTCTTATCATTTCTTTCATCCATTATGATGATAATTACGATCGTGATGATAACAGGTAAATGATTTTTAAATAATTTAAACTTTTTTTCTATTCTTTTACTTTCACCCTAAGAACTTTTTGTTCTGATCTCAGTTTCGAAATCAAAGAAAAGAAGAAGAAAGAAAAGTTCAATTCTGATACTTTTTCAATTCTCTGACATTTGTCAATGTTTTGCTTTCAAAAATACATAACCCACCCCATGGAAATACAAGGTAACTTTGGTTACTTTTTAGAATATTGAACAATATCATGAAACTATCATGACATATTCACATATATTCAACATAACGATCATTATTTTAATTATTGATTGAGAACTCTATCTCATGTAAATAAACAAAAGTGGAAACTTTACCTTTTCCATGATAGAAAAAAAGAGAAAAACGAAAAAAAAGTTCTGAGATAAGATTGAATTTTACTTCCGTGTTTTTTATCATTGGTAACATGCAATAGATGATGATCATGATGATGATGATGCTATGAAATGATGTGTACAATCAATTGATTAATGATTATCAATAAATGCCTGATTGAATAATGATAATATCTTTTCTGTGTGTGTGTGAGTTTGTGTAGATATTAAATCGCCTCGAGGTGTAACTTTGGGAAGAAAAAGGGAAAATTGAACTTTTTCTTGTCATTTTCATGAATGCGGATAAAATTTTGTCTCTCCCCTGAAATCCTACCTTTTCATCTGAACTCTCATGAAATGCTTTGTGTATGTGTGTGTGTGGATAAAATAAATAATATCTATAATGATAATGTTTCCTGTAAAAGAATTGAATATTAAATTTATTTTTCTCTCTTCTCTCTTACCTTGGTAATTATCATTAAATTGTAATAATATTGATCGCTAATGATTTTCCATGAAATCTTCAATTCTCACCGATTGTTGTTGATGTTACTGTTATGTGAGGTGGATTTTTAATAACAAAATTTTACTTCTAAAAAAGGTACTGATATGGATTTGATGATATCGAACTTTTCATTTCATGTAAGTTTATGAGGAATAATGGTGATGAAAGCGGGAAAAGAAAATATTTATATTATCGTCAGATGAAAATTCGAAGGAAAAATTGTTTTTTTTTGCTTCTCCAGAAAAGCATCAACTATGGTCTATGGAGGAAAAAGGAAAGGGAGAGCAACAAGACCATAATAATTAAAGTCAACAAATGAAGTGATAGTTTGGTTTGTATTTGTGTGTTGAGAGAGGAAAAGAAAAGGTGAGAATAGTGAGAAAGGAGGAAAAGGAGAGAGAGAGAGAGAGAAGATGAAGAGAAAGAAAAACAAAAGTAAAAGAGAGACAGAGGGAGGGAGAACAAAGAGAAGAGGGAGGATGAGAGAAAAAGGTGGAAGATGGAAGATGAAAGGAGGCGGAAAAGGGAGAGTGGATGGAGAAGGTAGAACGTGGAAAGAGAGAGAGAGAGAGAGAGTGAGTGGTAATCATTTGAATTTCCAGGTAAATGTTATCATGAATTCGAAATTGATTGAAAGTTTACGTTTGTAGAATTGAGCATTTCTTTCCCTTTGATATACTTTTGATCAACAGATGAAAGAAAATTCGAAAAGAACTTTTTTTTTTACTAATATTTCTTTTCGAAAATTTGGACAAAATTTTTCGTTCCACTTTCTTTACTTCTTTTATATTATTATATTAATACTTTTCTTTTTCTTTACTTTTTCATCCATAATCTACAGAGATTGAAATCAAATTAACTAATCATGATTTCTAGAAATAAAAATATGAAATGATATTTTATTATATTATATTATATCTGGAATATAATAATAATAATAAAAAAAGTTTTGATGGCAATTTGAACCATGTAACTAATATGTTTGGGAAATCAAAGGTTACATTTGGGAAACATTAAACGTTGATAATGATTATCATCATACTTTTCATTACAATTACGATGATTTAATTAACAAGCAAACGTACAAATCCAAATTAATTGTACGATCAATAATTAATGTTTGATTTCCGTTTATAATAGTTAAACATTTGATAATCACAAGAAAATTATAATCAAGAGAAATGACTAATTAAATGAAATTAGATCAACAAAGTTGATACAATTAACAAGGAAAGGTGAACAAATTAGATTAGTTTTGGATTAAAGAGACAAAGTGATTATTTTAATTAATACAAGTTTGACTTTCTCTCTCTCTCTCTCTCTCTCTTATTGATTTAATCACAATTTCCATTGCTCATCAATTATCATCACCATTCATCATTCAATGATAATCTTTAATCATAGTAATTTTCCTGACCATATTAACGTGATTAACTTGGACAATTAACCTTTGCACGAATCAACAAACAGATGAAACTATTAACTAACAAGTTAATCAATAGATATAAAAAAAGGTAACTAATTGTATGAGAAGTGATGAAAAAAAAAATATAATCATAATCTAGATTATTAAGTTAGATAATATTAAGATGATTATAACCCCAATTAGCATCCTCATCAAATTGCCTCAGGCAATTGAATATTAATCCTTGATAAAAGTAAACGTTTTCATTGTTAAAAATTATTATTATCATTTCTTATCAATCAGGGTAATGAAAAAAAAAACATGATAATCAAATTGAATTTGCTCACAGTAATTAATGATGATAATAATGATGCTAATTGTAAAACCCAAGTAATAATGATGATTAAACAATTATCATCTCAATTATGATGAAAATCAAGTTACATGAAATCTTTTTCTCAATGTAAATGGACCAATCAAGTTAATTGTTAATAATTGTGAATGAGAAAATAATTTTCTACAATCTGATTAACGGTAAAGATTATTTCATCTGTTAATCTAATAACAGAAAAGGATGATGATGATGATAATTAATATTCATTTGAATATATGGAGGATATTTTTTCATCATGAAACTTGATGAATTCATCCTGACGATGTGAAGATAATTATTAATAATCTTCATATACTATCAGCATCATTAGGATTAGTTGATTATTGGATAAATTGTATTACCATTTAGTTTATTATCATTATGATTATTGTGGTAAATTATCAACTAACTAGACTCTTGATTCATGTAACCATGGTGAGAGCTTGTATGGTTTTGATATTTTATTGGCCAAAAAAAGTTCATTCTCATTGTTAATCCATAATAATATTGTATTATATTCATTTTATGGTTTCCTTTCAATGACAATACCTATGATAACAGGTAAATGGCTCTTAATCGATTCTCAATTAGTTTCATTTGCTATTGATTTTTGTTTTCTCCAAACTTTTTCACATTAGATTTTTGTATTATCTCATCTTAATATTTAATCAGAATGTATGGTTCACATGTATGGTGGTTTTTATTAGTATCTTCATGAAACTTTGATGCTTTTATCGATTTTTTCATTTACTCTTTTAACTAACTCAAAAATTAAGTGCTAATTCTGTCTATTAGATGGCACCTGTTTACAGGGAATCTTATATTTCTATCTTTCTCTCTCTCTTTCTCCCATATTCAATTCATGAAAGTATGAGTAGTAAACATTGATAGTAAATCTGTCAATCAGACTACTATTGAAATGAGATTTATGCTGTTAGAGTATTGTAATAAGAGTCGTGTGGCATAAACAATGTGTCGAATAACTTTTTCCAATATTAGAACTTTTTTTTCTTTCCTCAACTCGAATAATAATTCCAAGGCGCTATTTTGAATGATGAAATTTAGCAGAGTTTCACTTTTGGCTTTCAGCGGCAACTCGAACAAAATATAAATATAAAGGTGGAGAAAGATCAATGAGGCGGGATGAAAACGTACAAAAGTACGTGTGGATGTGAGAGAGAAAGAGCGAGCAGAGAGAGAGAGAGAGAGAGAGAGAGAGAGAGAGAGAGAGAGAGAGAGAGAGAGAGAGAGAGACAAAATCGCTTGCTGGCCTGCGATCCGATACTGCATATGGTCGCCTTTCATTGCGTTTTCCAGCTGTTCCATTCTACATTCGCCATCATTTTATCAGCTGTTAATGTTTGACATCTGTCCAGCTACTATCTTAAAATAATATAATGATATTAATCAGCATGGTGATGATAATAGTTAAATAACAAGAGGCAAAAGAAAAACAACAAAAATTGAACAACAAAAACTCAGATCAAATGATGAAATTTTCCAAAATTTTATTAGATAACATAGAGAAAAGTTATCAAACAATTCCAATGTAAAATAATAATAATAATAATAATGATAATAATAATGGCGATAAACAATAAAAGGTACACAGGTAATAATGATAATAGCATAGCGTTAATTTTACTGATAATTATCATGATTATAAACAACAACAAACATGAAATAAATAATTAAGTTGTTGACCCTGGACTTAAACTCAATCAGTTTTCCCTCTCCATCCTCATCCCTACATCTTTACCTTACCCACCTCCACCCACTTCCGCCTCTAAGCCCACCTCAATCTACCTTTGGCTCTCAATCTCTCACTCTTTCATCGCCCTATTACGATACCATAATTAATATTAATACTTCTATTATTATATAAATACATACAAAAGACAATACTGAACAAATGATGAACAATTATCACCAATACAAACTAATCACAATGAACAATCAAATCGTCATCTATTCATCCAAAGTTTGGTAACTGAAATGAAACGATAAATGTAAGTGTCACAATGAGTTATCTTCCTCTACATATTATTAATACTTCGGGAAATATTTGAGACCTCAAGTTACATGGATTCTTTAAAATTGTTAACATTTAATTTCCTTCCAAAAACCTCAGACATAACTCTGCCTATCGGAAAAATAGTAAGAACGTAATCTGAACAATTGTGATTCAGAATTTTCAACCTGCGCAAACTCAGAAAGGTTTTGCTGAAAACCGCGAAAATCAAATGGGAAAAGAGGAAAATTAAAAAAAAAACTTAAGGATAAGTTGGATTTAGATTAAACGACGAGAGAGACAATCATGATTTCTATTAACTGTAACTGTGAGTGTCTTTTAATTGTTTCATTAGTTTAACTAACAATTAGCAGTTTATTAATGGAAACCAAAAAGCTGAAAGAAAATATAAATCAAATTAACTAAAATTGGTACAATTGAACAGTTGAATGTTTGAATCTTTTACAATGTTTTGTGATTGTTGATTATTAGTGAAAATGATTGAACACAATCAAGGAAGCGGAAATAATGATTTAATTTTTAGTCTGATGAGATGATGAACAAAAAAAAGCAAATATTGATTGTTTTAATATCCCTAGAAAGTAATTAACTAAAAAGGATAACAATTTAGAGTTATATATTAACAGTGATTAATAAAAATGATTGATTTCATTTAGTTTTTTATTTGTTTTCGTTTGTTCAAATTTCATCATCTCAAGTTTGTTAATTAGTCAAACAGTTTTGTTCACAATTAGGTTTTGTTTTAGTTTTGTTTTTTTTTTCTGTGCGTTGATTATCATTCATGATTAGTAATTTGATTTTCATCTCAATTCCTATCAGTTGCTTTACATTACAATCACAATCAAAAGGTAAACAATTTAGTAATAGTAGTGTTTTTGTTTTTCGTTTTGTTTTGTCAAATCAAAATTCAATGTTGATTAGTGGAGATAAATAATCAACAATAATTCACAATTAATCGTCTATTTCTTTGACACATCAGCACTATTAATCTCAGCCATGGATGGACGATTGGACCAAAGTGGGTCAGCTCGTCGACCGAATCGTAGTCTAAGTGATGGCGATCGTCCTCCTTTCCTCTCCATCTGATGACCAAATCGATTATACTGGTCAGCTTGTTGATTCTCATTTCTCAAAAAGAGATCATAAAGATCCCTCAAATCTGCTAATCATAATCAAGAGAAAGAGAGAGAGAGAGAGAAATTGAATTAGTTAATTGTCTGGTGAATATCTTCACAACAACAACAAAGAAAAAAACTCCAATTCAACTAATAATATCAAAGATTCATGCAAATCACGTAGGTGAAAATAATAAGACAATTATTTCCCCTTCCATGTTTCATTCAAGTTTCTCAATGAAAAATATCATGAAGTTAATGGTGAACAACAACAGAACTTTTTTGAAACTTTAAGAATCTATTAGGATTATTGTTCCTCATGGATGTTCAGAATCACCATCCATGGTTTCCTCATGTAAATATCCATTGGAATATCTAATTGAAACTCTGAAAACTCACCAGAGATAAAAAAAAAGGAAATACAAATGAACGTGAATTTTAACAGAATCATTTTGAATGGTGAAAAATTAACCAAGTAAATTGTTTCTCATCTAGCAAATTGTTTTACTCTGACTATTATCAAGATAATCATGTATTCAGAATTTAAATTTCAAAATTTAACTTTCGTTTCATTGAAGTTTTTTTCTTCTTCTTCTCCATGATAAATCTGATACATCAGAACTTTGGTTATAACTAATGTAACCTCATAAACTGAATTATTATCATCAACAATGGGTTGATAATGAGAAGTCGTTGAAACGTTAATTGTTTCAAATTTAGCTTACTAATTATACTTAATTTACAATCTTAATTCATTGGTATTGAAATTGAGTTGAGTAAATCAACAGAAAGAGATGAGATTTTATATTCAGGGTTAGATGTTTACCTAGACGATGAAATTTATGATAATTTTCATGGAGATTGAATAATATGAATCATCTTATATTATTATTATCATAAGGATAATCTAATTGGTTTATTTTTATAGTCTCATCAGAATGATAATAATCTCATTAATGATAAAAGATGAGGAGAAACTATTTCATCATCTCTCTCTCTCTCTCTCTCAACTGAATAGTTGTTATAATCAATTTCAATCTATCTCCAAGAGTAACATGAATCAATATGAATTAAACATTAATAGTCTAGGTGATTTATCCCCAATGATCCCAATTGATATCTTCATGATAGTAATAACAATTAATACACTTGTGACAATTTAGTTGAAGTTAACAAACCAACAAGTGATTAAGGTGAATGTGAAACAATTTATGATAATCTTATTGTTATTTTTTTCTTGCTTATCCAAAAGTTATGGTGATTGAAATTTCAACGATAAATATAAGTGTCTCAAGGAGTAATAATTAATAATAATACAATAATTTAACAACAATTAAAAGTTATCAAGTTAATGGTTGTCTATATCTAACCTAGTATCCACTTACTATCGTCGTTTGAATTAACATGACATGAAACCAATGGATTTAAAATGAGGAGGATTGAGGATAAGACCATGAGAGAGACAATTAAATTTGATTTAACCATGATTTCAGTTAATTGTTAATGTGTGTGTGTGTGTGTTTATCTTTGTCTTTGTCTTTTAATTGTTTCCAATCAAATAATCAGCTGAAAATTGGGAGTTTAATTGTTTATGGAACTTGATTTTCCTGGATTTACCTGTGATAAAAGGGAAGAGACAGAAAAAACAATCAGTAATTGTTGTCAACGAAATGTTATCTTGATCATTTAAACGAGATTAACTTGGATCAACTTGGATTTACAGTTTAATCTAATGGATTAACAAGATAATAGGCTTCAAGTTTATCTATTACAAGTAGATAATCATGAAGATGCTGATGATTCCGGTAGATTGAAAAGTTAAACTGATGATAATAACTATTATCATAATGTTACTTGAATTGGACAGTGAAAACGTCGTAGTGAAAATATTATCACTTTAACTTATGAGAACTGGGAATTTCATTCATTCATGTATTGTCCAAATATGAGGGTTGATAACATGGAGATTGTAAAAGTCCAGGGGTGAGGAAAATATAACTGAACTTATCATTATTATTTTGTAACAGAACTTTTTTATTCTATCAAATTTATTAGTCGAAGTGATCATTTTGATAAACATTACAAAGAAAACTCAGTCTAACATCACCATCAACTTCATCCGAGCATCATGATTATCACCATCACTAGCCTACGATTTTCCATGAAAATTCTGACTGAATTGTGGATTGAACAAAAAAGTAACACAATTCCATCAAAATAAATTACTACAATTTAGAGCTAATTACATGGGAAATTGTGTTGATATGATGGAACAGGAAGAGGATGAAGAAAGGGGATTTTGAAATTGTTCAAGAGGAACCATGATCATGATGATCATCATGTAGATTTTGTTGTTGTTGTTGTTGTTGACCAAATTGTTAATATCAAACTGTGAAAATCATTAAATAATAAAAACATTTCATGTGTTGGTTGTGTGTCCCTGACAATTTAGTTATCAAATAAATTGTCTTGTATTCATTTTAATTAACACAAGTAACGGTTATTCTGGTTCATACTGAGTAATCGGTGATATAACTTGATCATTGATTACCATTGGATATCCATTTGAGAAGATAGTAAATAATCAAATTGAAAGGTTCTATCTTAACAATCAAGTAACAATCACCACCAATAAAGTATTCAAGTTGATGGAAACAATTTATTATCATCCGATATACATGGTGTTATTTTCACCATTAAGAAAAAAAAAGGTTCATCATCAACTGAGTAATTTCACTTGACACACCATAAGATCAATGATAATCTAATTGATTCAAATTTGAGTTTCATGTTGTGTTACAATTAGCAAGTGAAATTAAATTAACTTATTCTCTACCAGTTAATTGATTTTGACAGTTTAAGCTCAGATTCAGATTTCTTGCTGTTAATTATCATGAGAAAAAAAATAAGAGCAAAAATAATCCAATCCATTGGTGATAACTTACTTCTTATGAATCTCATACAAACTCATGTCATGAAAACAGTGATTCTCAGGCATCATGATGCAATTGAAATTCATCACTTGTATATAATATTCTGATCAAAATTCAATCCATTCAATTTCATCTCGTAAACATGAACAATCTACTTGTTTAAAACCTAAATAGAATTTCGATAATTTCTGTTTTTTTCCAATTCTACTGAATCAGAGTTTCAAAATGTTCAACCTTGAACTTTTCTTGAACAAACCGATAACCTTCCCATGAGAGACCTCAGGTAAATCAGTCTAATGGAAATGGTAGTTTGGTTAATTAACTAAATCTTCAAATGAATTGATCATATTCATTTTGGTGAACTTTATTTTTGAGTAACATGAGTTATTATATTTTTTTTATTTTTCCTTCGTCTATACATGTTCAATGTGTAATATATCATGAACATGATAGCTGAGTAAATTGAACAAGTAACCAAACTAATGTACTGGAAATAAATTGATTCTGATTATGATGATGAAACTGTAAACTCGGTCAATGGAAACACTGGAAAAAAATGGTACAATTTAATAATAGGATAATTAACTTGCCCATTAAGTTAATCATCGTTTGAACAATTGAACAAAATTCTTACCATGTTAGTTATCATTATGTTGAAACATTGAACATGGAGACAATAGTTTTCATGGGGAACATATTATTCAGTCTATTAATTTCATGATAAAGAAACTTGAAATCTTAAACATAGTGGAAGTTTTAGTTTCCATTGAAAAGTTTCAAATCCATTCTCATGAAATTATCTCAATCTTCATGTAAAACATTTATTCATTTTGTGAAATGTCTCAAGTTTATTAATTCATGAATGAAATTATAATCATGTTTATTGATCGAGTTCAGAGTTTATCTTTTAACATGATAAAAGTTATTGATCTTATTGAAAACTCACCTCGTCTCAGTGTTGATCTAGAATTTGAGTAGATCTGATCAACTTTTCATCTAATTCCTAATAGTAAATTGTAATTAGGTTGTCAAATTGATTAATTAAAAGTTGAGATCTTAATCCGGCTCTTGTAACTTTTTTTTTCTCAATCAAATCAATACAATTAACGAGTAACGAAAATGGTAAACAATCAACAATCAGGATAAACTGTTCTCAACTCAATTAACTTTTGATAGAATCAATTAAAATGTAAATTCACTTGATTATCAACCTTGATTGTGATAAAAATAGATGAAAATTTAATATGAAAACTAATTCTTTGCCAAATAATTAACTAAATATATTAATTTCCAGAAACCTTCAATAACAATCTAATAATTGATTAACAATTTTACCATTTACAATTCAAATGAAATTACATATTAACATGTTCTTGATTATCATTTATTAATTTGATTCAATTAGATGATAAAATTTAATCAATATGATTACAAACTGGAATCACAATAATTAATTAATTGTGTTCAACTATTACAACTCTTAATCTTAATCATGATAAACAATCAAGCCAGAAGGTGTTAGATTGATAATTAACTTTCAGATTTGAATAGTCACCCAAATAATTATTGTTGGTAATTTTTTTTTTGCTTCCTGTTGCTTAATTGTTGACTAATTGTTGCCAATGGACTTTCATTATTAGTTTGATACTATTATCGTTGTTTTAATCTTGATTATGATTAAATTGCCCAGATAAGACTGTCAATATAAAAGTTGAGATGGTAAATTGTTTTGCCAATACTTTCATGATAAAATTCTGGTTTTTATCATCATGTCAATGAATATAATTAAATTTACTACATCAACTTATGGAAAACTATTGTCACTATTTCCAACTGATTATTATTATTATATGATTACAATGGTTATTTAATTTGAATGCTGTTTCATGTTTACAAAATGATGATTACCCTGAATTCATTATGAACAAAGTTATTATCGGAATTAGATGATGAAGTATATAATTATTTCATGGTGGAAACAAGAACTGAACGATGAATGAGGGAAAAAAAGGTGAGTTAATCTATCACTTCCTGATAATTATCGAGCTGAACATTGTACATGAACTGATTCAATTAACAAGATGAAAGTTATAATTATCAACCTGAAGAGTGTTAATCCAAATGGTCAATGGGTTAATGAATAGACCATCATGCAAGAAAATCATAACAATCAATTTACTCTTTGATTAAAAAGAGATG